GGCCAGAAAGTTTCCTGAAAAGGCCCCAAAAAGGCCCACGGACCACCAGTTGATAATCACAGATTTAGCTTGTTTTGCGGCTCTTGATACATTTTTTTAGTTTGTTGTAGCAGAAATGGCTCTTCTGACTGTAAAGGTTGCAGACCCCTGACTTAGACAATGCCTAAGGACAGCAGGACATGAATGAGGACAGTGGTGAGATGTGATGTAGAAGTGGTAGACAGCTTCAAGGTCGAGGTGGGACGGCGTTAAAGACGGGCTCTATCCAGAGGAGGGACAGTGGTCGTGTTGGTGTGGACATGTCCAGAGTAAGGACAGTGGATATATTGGTAGATGGAAGATCAGTATTTTTCAATTGAGCTGAAGGTTTTCACAAATAAATGGGTATAAAGAAGTAGTTTGATTTAAAAAAAAAAACAGAGCAGAAGCTATAAAGAGGAAAACAACAGTTTAAATGCTGACCAAGCATTAATACTGCTTTGCACAGATTGATAAGAATCTAAATGAGAGGTAAATAAAATATCTGTTACATCAATATAACTCCTGTCAGAACTTCTTCCACTGGCTTGAACGTTGACRTTTCCCAGGTGCAAAACAGCTGAAATGATCCTGAAGAGCTCCATCTGCTGGTCAGGAAGCACACCTGCAGTTTTACAATAAAATACTTCAGAACCTCCTGTTTTATCTTCCAACAGTTTAATCTGCACAACGTTTACATAGCCCAGTTTACCGAGAGTGGTGAGAGCATGGCGAGTGCGCTCCAGGTCAGATAAGTCGTCAGTACCAGGTATGTGCAGGTCTCCTCCCTGGTTGGTGTAGCGGAAATATTCTGGTGCATCTGGAAGTCAAGAGAACCCTCAGAACACGAGTTACGCAGACATGAGAAGATTTCTGAGAGCCTGTTGAAGAGGTCTCACTGAGTTTGAGTGCTCTCATTTCCGGCAGCTCTCTRGATGCACACAGCTGATAGAAGATGTGGTAGTTCCTCTCTGACGATGCCTTATAAGCATAAAAACACAGAACATTTGTCAGGAATTTCTTGGTTTGCGCAACAGAAGAGCAGCAGCGGAGCTTCACCTGGAAGACGACTCTCGACTTCTCCAGCAGATACGTTCTCATGTTTGCACCGATGATGTCGTCCTTCCTGCCAAAGCCAATTTCGATATACTTCCCAAAACGACTGCTGTTGTCGTTTCTGGTGGTTTTGGCGTTTCCTATAGACTGCAGACGAAACCCAGACWTTGTTTCTAGTTTTTAAAAAAGCAATTTGAGAGGAAACACACTGGTCCTTTACCTCCATGATGGGGTTTGAAGCCAGGATCCTCTCCTCCACACTGGTCTGTTGAGTTGCACCTCCAACCGCAGCAAAGTATCTCATGGTAAGTTTGGCCGAGACGGTTTTCCCTGAACCGGACTCCCCACTGATGATGATGGACTGGTTCTTCTCCTCTCTGTAACACAGAGTGGGAATTATTACGTGTGGAAAACTGATCATCATAACGTGGCGTCTGCTGTCTGATGTGTCACTTGGTCATGGTGCGGTAGGCCTCCTCTGCCACAGAGAAGATGTGAGGCTCCATGTCGGCCATGTCCTGACCGCTGTAAGCATCGATCACCTCCTCACCGTAGATGGGCAGCTGCTCGTAAGGATTGATGGCCACCAGCACAATCCCTGCAGGAGCAGAGGGTCGTCTTTACACCACAACACASAGCTCATATGTTGTGGGTGTATTTTTATGGTTTAATTGTAAAACTAAATTTAGTTTTCATGACTAAATCTTTACAAAGCTGAATGAAAAAAATTAGCTTCAAATCTATAAAAGCCATAAAAAGCCAAGAGAAGTTTAAAAAAACTGACCTTGTTTTCTCTCTCATAGGACTTATGAGCAAATGAAATATAAAACGATTTTCTAAATGTGGACAAAAGCTTTTTTTTACTTTTGAACAATAAGTACGTACTGTAAGTAAAATGTTATTTACATTGCTCCAGTGGTGGGCAGCACTAATCTAAAAATTAAAACACTTACTCAAACATTTAGGTCCCCAATTCTAAAGCACTAATGCACTGAAAGTTTTAGCAAAAGCTAATGCTAAAGCACTAAAATAACCCAGTCAACACAAACATTCTTCAACAGACAACATGAGTCACATGTTGTCATGTTGCTCTGTAAAGACTTATCACTGACATTCCACACGTTCATTTATTGTCAATATGACACACATGAACAAAATGTGTGACAGCTTTCACCCTCAGCTGTTCACATTAATGTTGATCAATAACATTTATCAGAATATCAGAATCGTTTATTGTCATTCACACAACATTAAGATGCAGTGCAGAAAGATATTTGCAGTTTMGACCTCAGTTAGTGCTTCTAAATTTAGCAAGTGCTAATCCACTAATAAATTTTAAAATTAGCAAAAGCCCTAAAGCACTAATCAGGAAATTAGTTCCCCTGTTAGTGCTTTAGGGGACTGTGCCCACCACTGCATAGCTCCTTTCTTAGAAATTAATTCACAAGGTGCTGTACCATCAACAACAGCATAAGAAAAATAACAACAACAAACAGGAAACCCAATCCAAACCATTTGTATAAGGCCAACAAGTGTATCGACACAGAAATTTCCATCCAATAAACAGGTCTGCAGTAGCACTAAACAAAAATAAATAAATAAATAAAAATAGAAATAGAAAAAACAAAACCAACAATAGATCAAAAAAAGAGAATATCAACCCAAAGTCAAACAAAAATTGAAAATGTGAAATGAAAAAAGCAGATATTAGGCCCAAAATGCATCCAACAACACCTAGACTAGCTGAACGCTTTTTTATAAAACAGAGTTTTAAGGTCCTTTTTAAAAGAGTGGATACTGTTGAGAAAACATTAAGAAAAGGGGAGGGCATCTGAGAGGCTAGAGGCCATACAAGAAAAGGGTCTTGAAGCATGTGTGAGGAACGACTAGCAGATCCTGGRAATGCAGGCAACATGCAGGTCTGTGTGGGAAAAGCATGCCCCGAAGGTAAGTGCATTTTAAAGCTCTAAGAGCCAGCCCTTTAAACTGAATCYTAWAATAAACAGGTAACCAATCAAGTCCAGATAAAACCAGGGAAATGTGACTAAACTTCAATGTGTGAGTTAAAATACTGGCTGCAGGGTTCTGGACAAGTTGAAGACAACTCAGATGTTTTTGGTTCAAAYACATAAACTRTTACAATACTCCAGATGGCTCGAAACAACAGCATAAATAGGCTAACCATTTCCAAACCTGAGGCAGACAGCAGAGGGTGAAGATTAAAAATGTAGCTTAAAGAAGCACGTAGCAATCAAATCTTTTACCTGCTTTTCCAGGGACAGGCCAGAGTCGAACATGCACAACCCCCAGGTTTCAAAGAAAAAAAAAGTTGATCTATTTTCTAAATCTGTCCCAAAATCCTTTCTCTCCTGACTTTATGACATGTAAATTTTTATTCATTTGTTCAATCATTCACATCATAAAGTCAAAAAGAGAAAACATTTTGGGCAGACGTAGAAAATGTACCGTTTCTCCTTCTTTTCCAATCTTTACAGTGCTTGAAGGGATACAAAGTATTCATCCACACCCTAAAAAACACATCAAATCTGCTAATGAATCATGATGCCATAAATTTGGTCAGAGATGGAGAATGTGCMGTGTCTTAGCTGTTAAGACATGGGAGGTTAAAAGTTATCAAAACGGTGAGTTTTCGAGCATGTTAAGGGGSCGTGGCCAGGCCTAAAAAATGACCTTCTCCAAAAATAGCAAGATTCTATTGGAATTTTTAATGGGCGCGTGGCCAAATGGCTCGATAGCGCCACCTAACGTGAGATAGAGGAACTGGTAAGTCCTAGAGAGCTGAAATTTGGGGCATTGGTAGATTTCCCCAAATCAAGAAAAAAAAAGTCTCCTGGAGGTATGCCCTAAAACCAACAGGAAGTCGGCCATCTTGGGTCACACAACCTCACTCACTCACTCCAGRTACCATGAAATTCTTCGAGAGGACCATCGCTACTGAGGACCCTCAACAATACCTGGACAGGTGACACCAGTCACAGCTGTGACCCACCAGGCCCTCTCAAACCTGGAGATCAAGGACTCCTACATGAGACTGGACTTCAGCACCATCATTCAGCAGACACTGGTGTTCAGCTTGGCGRCATTGGGAACCTCCTCATCCCTATTGGACAGCTGTGGCTGATTGGTTAAAGCAGTCATCCTCCAATGAGAGAGTTGGGGGTTCGATTCCACCACTATGAGCTTCTGATGTGTCCCATCAGTGTATGATTGTTATTTGTCTCTATAGACTGATTTATTCAGATTAGCKTTGTTAAGAGACTGACTGAATGTGTGTGGCTGTTATTGAGCACTCTGAGCATCCTGGTTAGACGGACACTTGAACAGTGGTGGGATCAAACCCCCAACTGACGTCAACTGTTGCTGCTGTACAATTGCACCTTTTTTTAATCTGTAATTTTTAACTTTTGTTTTCATCCGTTTTAGCTCGTTATTTTTTTGTGTTATTTCACCATAAGGAGCACAACAAATCTGTTTTGTTTTYAACGTGAGGTTTGAATGACAATAACGCTGACTCTGATCATCTTCTCCTGCTGCACTACTTCCAGAAGACCTCCCTTGTCTTTATGAATGTACCATCCTCAGTCTTGTCTTTGCTCACCACAGTAGGTGTAGATGCTGCTGTAGTCCAGAAAGCGAACCCGCAGGTTGTGCAGCACAGCAGGTTCATGGAGAAAGCTGAGAGCTGTCAGGTCGTTCTCACCCTCCAAGATGTCAGGGTTCCCTAGCGGGGGGAGGTCCGACGGAGARCCCACTGGGTAATGGACCTCCTGTTTCAGCGGATTGTTAACATATTTAATTATATTCTGTGAGAAGACTGAGTCTTGATACAAAGCTATGGTGATAACTAAACTCGAGCATGAAGATCAGAATGTGCGAAGTGCTGCACGTCTCACATTTCCATCAGGGAGCTGCAGCAGCAGCTGGTCCTCTCCAGGCCTGAAGTCCTGCAGGAGCTGAGCAGAAACCCACACCGACTCTGTATCAGGGACCCACACACTCGAGCCCTGACAAAGGAACAGATTTTTACTGCGATATAAATATATATTAAAAAAAAGAATAATAACATTTAATTTTTAAACACTGTCACACTTCCTGGCCCCACCCTGGCAGGATATTTGTCACCCATCAGCACAAAAAGCTCTTAAAACGGTGTTAAAAATTAACACTGGTCATCCTCTAACTCTGAACAGCTCTAGTTTTTAACGATTCGTCACTAAAAACCTTTTTCACTTCACAAAGTGTTCATCCTCTGCAGATATTCAACAGGTTTTCTCAGTTAGATACCTCTGTTTGAGAGTTAAGTCCCAATATTTGTACATTTACTAAATACTGTTAATTCAGTGACAATCTGATTACTAGGAAGCTGCAAATAAGACATTAATTCTCAATCCAATGATCTCATATCTAAAGCACACACAAAAGCTCATCTTACCTTGGTATAAAGTTCAAGAGTTGCCATGTTTTATTCTTTAGAAGTGGGGGAACATCATCTCCCAGCTGAGCGGTCCTGAGGGGAGCAGCCGGTAGAACAGGTGACAACGTTCTGCACTTTGTTCACATAAAGACAGTCAGGTTAACAGTTAATCTGCTGCAATTACATGTGCAGTTTGAACAGTTACCTCCAGAGAGAGCTTCTGTTCCAGTTTTCTTTTTTGACAACATTAAAGGCATTTWTTACATCTGAACACAGCTCAGATAATAAAAAGACAAGCTACAAACTTTGTGACATTCTGACACATTTTAATAAGTAAAAGTTTTATTTCAGCGACAGGTCTGCTGATGTTAGAAGGGGCATTTCATGATTTTCAGCTAAATTTATCCAACAAGGATAAAAAAAAAACATTATTCTTTGAATAATTTAAAAAAAGGATCAAACTAATTTACCATCACTTGTTTTGTGCATGGATTTAAAAGGAGGCAGCATGTGTGTAGTGACATTAACACGTTTTTTTAAACAATTCAACAGCAATGTATTAAAACATCACTAAGCAATTCAAAACTAGAAACAGTAAAATCTGAAACTGAAGCAGCTTCAGATCATTTCTCTGAATGGGTTTTCTGCTGCAGCTTTTAAAAAGGAACAATATACTCCATGAGAATTAAGTGTTTTTAAAAATGACGCCRTGTGTCAACACTGAAGCAGAACTCTTGACTTAAATCATACACCTTCTGTAAAAAATAACACTCAGACTAAACGTCCACGCAGACACCAAACTACAAAACATTCACTCAATCTGCCCAAAACCAAACAGACACCTCGTAGCTCTGACGACATGAAAAACATTTGGATTTAATGATTGTCAAAAAAAAAAAAATCACATTCAAAACTCTTAGTAAAAAATACATTTATCACCAAACACTGAATTGGACATGATGTAAATATTTTTTTCTCCTTTTATATCATTTATGATTTTATTTTTTTTAATGTTTCCTATTTAAAAATCCTCTGGGCTCATAAATACAGTCATGGAGTCCCATAGAGTGGGCTTAATGATGGAAGAGCTGGGGGGAGTGCTGGACTGAAGGGGGTGGAGAGTGACTCTTGTCCTGGGGCGGTTCCTTCCGGTCTGGGCTGGTTAGGGTCTCAGATAGAGGTGTCGATTAAGTTCATTTGGACTTTGAAAAACCCTAGAAGAGAAAGAAAAACAAAACACTGAATTAAATGTGTTTCAAAGGGGTCTCACATTACGTACACGTGTTGGCCTTTATATGTTATTACTCTTTTTTACTAATATGTTTGTGACACATAAAACCATCCAATTAGTTTAACAATCATGTTTATTACATTTTTCACTTAAGAATGTTTTGTTACTGCTGCAATGCATTTTGGGGATGATGGTGATGGGTTAGAGTTGAAACTAAATCACAAAGAGTCTAGGCCAAAACAAAAGCTTCAATTTGTGACAAAATTATATTTTGCTGCAGCATACGTCACTACAGGGGGGTTCCTCCCGCTTGAAGTCCACGACGCATTAAAAAGTCAGAGACTCGTCACTTGATGTTATTTACCCACAAATCTGTCGCGGTTAAAGCTCCAACGTTTTTATCAGTTAGATTCCACTGTGCAAAATGCTTGTTTTATCTCCATCCACGAGTTTTTGGCCGTTTGACTCTCTTTATAAACCGACTCTTCCTGCTGCAAGTCGGCTCATGAAGCAAGTCGCTTTTTTTTTGTTTGTTTGAAGCGAGCGGTTAAACAAAATGCAGCTTCTGAGCGCTTTCAGCACAAACACTCCTACRAACTTCTGACCAATCACACAATTAGTTCTTATGTGCAGGGGGGGCAAAAAGTTCGGTTGTGTCAAGAAGCTGCCGAAATGTCGACAATGCGAACAGAATGACGCAATTTTAKTCATGAAACTGCGACAATCCGAACCCATTTCTGCAGTTCGGAGGGTGTATGCAGGAGCCTTAACGCTAAAGCAAGAAGGCTAAAGCTGTCACCATACATAGCCCTGAAGCTATAAGCTAATATTATTAGCTCGGGCGCTAACGTGAAAGCAAGAAGGCTTAAGCTGACCCCATGTATAGCCTCTGGCGCTTCAAATGTTTTCATATACAGTATATTAAACAATAGTTTAACTGTTGCACATGCAATTGAGCATGAATTATATGCATTACATGTTGGTTTAATAAACATATATATACACAAATATTTTTTTAAAATGGTAACTTGATATTTGGGTAAGTGTGCAGCACTGTGAGACCCTCTGGTAATGTCAATAAAAAATGGTGATCATTTAAGTTGCCCATCCCTGCTCTAAGCTGTAATTTCCCCTTGGGATCAATAAAGTCTTATCAATCAATCAAGCTAAGATCATTGCTATCAGTCAATATTACTTTACGCATGAAGTCTACCTGTGCAGGTCACTGATGAGGTGTGTTGTTCATGCAGCGAGAGAGAAAACAGAAGTGTAGGTGGTGAAATCACCAACGCTAGCTTGTGCTGTGCGCCATCAGCAGTGCTGCAAAGGGTCCTCCCCTTTTTACTGGCGGGCGGGACGTAACGTTCTAAACCTGTTCAGGCTTTTTAAACCAGTATTCTGAAAACCRATCTTCAGTACAACCCAGTACACCGCCCCGCTCTACTAAACAGCCATTTTCCAGTCTCATTTTTAGAGTTGATGGAAATGTTTATCACAAAACGTCTAATGTTACGACATTGATCTATATTACTGGATTGGGCATCACGTGACTTATTGTGCGCCACACAGGTGCCATTGCTATGCATTGAGTTTTGACTCAGGAACACCCATGAATGGTGGTAAAAAGGGGATGCAGCAGACAGTCATGCAAGGAATTTCAAAAAGGGATGCAATTTTTGCCATAAATTGTCAACACTACAACAACAACAAGATCAAGGTTATCACATTTTACAGGTCATTAAAATATTTTTTATTTTAAAAAAAATGTCGGAGATGCGAAAACAATATTAATAAAAATATAATAATTTGTTGGAACAGCAAATTTATCTTTATGTGACGGAAATGGTCTTCTACTGAATACGTTAGCAAAAACCTATAATGAAAAGTTCCCAGACTGTTTATAGATTTATCTCTTGAGCAAATACATATTTTTTACATTTCACAACATCAGCAATTTTCTCAGCTTTAATTTAAGCCATATTTTATAGAAATCGAATAAGAAATGAGGGTGCTATGAATTGAAACTCTACCCTTTTGTTGACATGACTCAATGCATAGCAATGGCTCCTATGACAGTGTGTCGCTAGCTATAGCGGCTATAGGCGATGTCCAATCCAGTAATATAGATCAATATGTTACGACGAGTCGGAGTTCCCCCTCCGAGTCAGATGCAGAACAGATCAGGGCGTTCCTCAGAAGCACCTGTGCTATACGCTCTCCATGTCTTCACTGCCGGCGCCCTCCTCCTTCAGAGGCTCCCCGTCGTTGGCAGCCTCCTCAACGTGGGCCAACATGTCGGCCATGAGCGCCTCYTCCAGCCTCTTCCTCACACTGAACACCAGCTCCTCTTGTTTTCTGCTCGCACACACACACAACAGGTGAGAGTTTATTAGAAACTGCCAAACCTCTAACAATAACCACAAACTAAACATCTCTCTGAACTGCTAGTTCCTCTTTTTTTTTTTTAACAGACACACACTTAGTTCCAGACAGTTTTTTTTAAAGCGCTCGATAAACAGCTCACCTGATGTCCTCGTCCGTCACGATGAAGGCCTTGCACAGCGGCTGCGCAGTGTTCAGCCAGACCCCCGGGTTCTTCTCCACAGCGGCAGAGAGCTGCCCGGTGATGGGAGCRGCACTGGTGTGGAGCGCGCTCGCTATCGCCGACAGCAGCGTCTTGTCTGTGCAGCCCGGACCCACACCTGAAGCAGTGAAGGTGTCGTTAAAACTTTTTTTTTGTCCCTCTCTCAAACACTCAGCAGAGCTGTGGTTTTAAGTCATTATTAATAACGCTCGGTTGTTTTACCTTGCAGACCTTTAGGTAGATCCATCGTTTTAACCAGCTCCTCTGCAATGTCATAAGCATTAAGACCACTAAGCTTCTTCTCCCAAAACAGCTGTTGACAAAAACAAACACATGCGGTTGCTTCCACAGTGACTCCACACATATTAAATAACAGCTAATTCAAACTCACCGTTGTTACATCTGGTACCTAATACTTCCTGTTACTGTACTTCAAACCCGTCTTTCTGGTTTGTCTGTTCTGCGGTTAACGACACCCAGAGGCTGCTCACCTGTCGCGGTTGATCAACGGCTTTCTGAGGGTCCGTCTTCACTTTGTTGTTGGGATGGTTGGTAACCTTGGTCACAGGCTGCTTAAAAATGGAGGCCGTCTGTCTGACTGGGAGCGATGTGTTCAGGTCAGGTTTGCCCTAAAACATTTAAAAAATAAAAGACAGAAGAGGACGACTTCACACAACAAGACAATAAGGACGTTTTCTTCTGTGAGACAGAAGCTGCTCGGATGTGGAGCCGACATCTGGTCGCCCAATCTCTGTCAGAGGTCTTTAACAAGCAGCTTTATCAYGATACGATATTATTGATTTGTTGGATGACGATGCGATATTTCTCCATATCACAAAGTCTGTCATGATACGATTTCCATTCAATCCAGTTCTCAAGATGTGATGGATATGATGCAATGTGTCCATCTAAAACAATCACTGTTAGGTGGACACATTGGGCAACTGACGATTGAGATGTTTTTGTTTCACCTCGATGTAACTGAATCATTAATCATATCGATATATCCATGTGGAACTATGTTTTGTTACACATTTATCCACATAAACGACCCAAGGAGCAAAGTTACCACCAAGGCTGGGTTTCTGTACATTTCAAAAAGTCAAATTTAAGACTTCAAAACCTTTTTAATGTTACCWTAAATTAAATTTGAGGCCCATAAAACCATAAATATAGGTGTTGATTGTGGGGGATCCTGCTCTATTACAACCAAGTTAAACATGAGTAGGGTTGGGCAATATTTGCAAAAAAATAAATCACAATTGTGGTATTTAGCTGGTAACGATTATTTTGATGATTAATCCCCTGGAGTCCCTGGACGCCCTTATTTCATAGTCACATGACCAATTTAGTGGGAAAGATTTGCTCTTCATAAAAATCTGTTCCAAATTGTGTCAAAATTACAGACTTCAGGCTATACATCACATTTAAAATTGTGTTGATAGATAAGTTACAGAACTTTTTAATGTTCGTCATATTTGAAGCGGAGAGGAGCAGCGAGCGGATTCTACCTGTTGGCATTAATTGTATTAATTGTCAAGTGCCAAAAATTAATCGATTAATGTTTTTCTGACGATTAATCACACACGATACGATTATGCCCAACCCTTAACATGAGATACATTTAAGTTTGAATATAACGTGGATTTTTAAGAAGTTTTTTTAATAGCTGCAACATGATCATGCATTTGTTCATGGCTCTTGGCAGCAATTTTTGTACCTTAACCCCCCATGGTGCTGAGCTTAAATGTTATTGTGCACAGTGCACGTGGCCCCGCCTGGGTGGGAAACAGACGTCGTACAGCCAGCTGTCGATAAAACTGCACTTGCCCACGATTTAGTTGCAGAATAGCTGTCGAGCACATATAGCAGCAGCTAGTAGAAAGTAGCCTCGATCGCCTTGAGTCGCAGTCCATTTCGAGGCAAGAAACAAGTCTGCGCACAACTTGAGTAATATAATATTTCATTCATTTAAATAATTTAAAGGCAGAATTGTATCGTGTGCAATTAATTGTCAGATAAACTGTCATTATTTAATAATTACTACCTTGCAATTACACCAGTTAGTGCCCTGTGATGATGTAATATTGTGCACAACACACTATCAATAACATGYGAGCCCAATGGTGGCAGGTGGCGTGGAACAGCTAACTTTAACCTCACAAACTTATTTAACCACCTCAAACACAGTCATAAACTGGAATACAAAGAAAGCCAGAAAATGTGGACCAAGGCCACAACGCCGGCAACATGCARGTGCATTTGTCATCTATCATCGTGATAAATCGGTGCCAATATYGGCCAACTCTACTGAATACCCTGCAAGACGGTTGTTGTTGCAGAGGATTAGCATTCCTCTTGCAAAACGCAGCACAATTTAAAACTAACAATGCAACAGCAATTATATGCAGAAGTTTCAGTGAATAGGTTAATTAAATGTTTAGAGGTGAAATAGATCAAAAGTGTATTCAGTTATTGTGTCGTCTGCTGATGAAGATGTATTGAAAGAAAAACAAACAAAAAAAGACAGACAGACACATCTCAGGATAGTTTGCCTCACCTTGTTCTGGTTGTTGTTGTCGTACCGCAGCCTCTGGCGGTTCTTGTTCAGTTTGCTCATCAGCATCTTCCCCGTGCGAAAATCGAAGGAGCTGAGGTCCATCTGGTTGCCGAGGTAACGGGCCAGTTGGGGCTTGCTCCGAAACTTTTTCCCAGATGGACTGGCGGAGGGGCAGGTGGGTGCACAAGCAACAAAAAAACAAACAAAAAAAAAAATCACATTGCATTAATCTGAACTGTYGTCAGCAAAGGTAACACAGAAACATGGATGTGACCAGAGGTGGCACAGCTGCATGGACACATCACACTAAGGGCTGCACGATATTAGGAAATAACAGTGCTTAATATTACGATGACGATACGACTTGAGATAAATGAACAAATATGTRTGTAGAGTTGATATATTTCTGTTCTGGGTTCAAAGCCCAAAATAAAACAACCTAAAACAAACGAATCTGTTCCATTCCAGCCTGAATTACGTTTTTTAATTGATCAAATACATGACGGGCTCCACTTGATTGGTGAAACATTTCAAGCTTCGATTTGAAGGACAAAACGCATAAATGCAAACTTCTGAGTGAACCGTTTATTGCAGTTGTTGCCATATGCACACTGCACAGGATATTATCGCGATGACGATGAATTTTCGATATATTGTGCAGCCCTACATGAGAGAGAGAGAGAAAGAGAGAGAGAGAGAGACAGAGAGAAAAACAACAACATGCAACAAGTCCAAAAAAAGCTGAAAGCAGCAGCTAAAACGTCCAAATGAACAATGAGACCTGAATCACAGAAGCAGGACTTTGTGAAATGAATGTGGCCTTTTCTGAAGCCCCTCTTTAAGCCATGTCATCTGTTCAGTGAACTGACAGCTTTAAACAGGGACCTCTGAAAGCTGTGGGCTCTGTGTAAACATACTGGAACCAACATGTGTCAGCACACAAACATGGCAGCTGTCTGAAGGCACGACTTGTAGCAAATGACCAACAGAAGAGACAGTGTGTCGCATGCAGATGTAATGTAGCATCACACAGAACCGTCAACAGATTGATTGTACAGTCAGCCTACCACAAACTATACAATCGACCCGCCTCCCCCCTCTCTTGCCTCTGTTCCTCATCTTGCTCTTCTCCTCTGCTAAATAAAAACAAACCTGACGTTGTTGTTTCGCTTCAGTGGGGGGGAGATAAAGACTGTTAGCTGAAAACACACTGTTAGTTATGTTTAGCAGGAGCCAGGAGGCCCGGACGGATCAGAGGAGGTGGCCTGGATGGATGGCCTCCCGCCACCCGCTCCACCACCCTTCAAACTTCACCAAACACCCTCCCCTCTACCCCCTCACCCGGCCGTACCCCGCTCCACAAACTCGGTGTATCGTGTAACAGTGGTGTGCTGAAAACTCCCGCTCGTTTAGTACCTAAAGTAATAGACATCGCTTTTCCCAGCTGACAAACCCGACTTTCTGGTCACTTCTTCCATTTTCCAGCCTTTGGGGAGAGCAGTGCAATCCCACCTTTTCTTCTCCATATCCCACGCGAATGGCCACCGAGTCCGCTTAAAGTTAYTACAGTTAATCGGGTTGGGATGTTGAGGAATTGTGCCGAGACTGTTATTTTTGTTTTTTTGGTGGCTGGCCTGTCGCTTTTCTCACGCTTTTGTTTCGACCATTTTAAAAACGTGCGGACCCTGTAATGGGATCTTCCAAGCTAACGTCGTCGCTCATCTCTTTTGTGGGCGACGCAGATCGCTCCGCCGTGGAGCTGTCAGCCTCATCACTACCGGTGAGGGCTCCGCCGAGGTTACCACATCCGCATGAAAAGCAGGGCAGCCCGAGAAGCTGCCCCCCGGCTCCGTAAAGACACCCGTGAGGTAAACGGAACGAGACAGGAAGCTGGTGAATTTAAACTTCAGAATAAAAGCATTGGTTCGACCTGCAGCAAACTCACGTTCATACACCTTTAAAATTAAACGTGTAAAATTATAAATCATTTTAAAATGACTAATTGCAAACACTTATAGATCAAGTAGTGATCAAATAGACCAAGATCTTGCTTCTATTTAGAAACAGTCTATGACATATCAGACTAATCTGAGCAATAATTTGCTCTATTATTACCCATTTTAACCTTCAAAATAATTCTGCTGTAATTGCACATCTCTATTTCTTGTATGCACTGTGRTACTTCCCTTTTTATTTTATTATCTAGTTTGGTCTCTTTTTTTTTTTTCAAGTGTGGTCTTTTTTATCCTTTATCCTATATAAGTGTTTGTTTYCTTTGTACCAATCGTGCAGTTAGTACATTTAATAACACAAAAGTCCATAAATTTTTCGGTCAAAATGTATTATCACATGCAGATACTGTATAAAGGAGTAATATATGACATGTAGTCCTTTGTACAGTAACTTTGGATAGAAAATATACATTTATTGGATGAACTAATATTTCTGTGCCTTAAAATTACTTTTTCACYCAAACGATTTCAATCACAAACCGGAAATACAGTATACATGACCATATTTAGAAAGCATTACTGAGCATGCGCAAACTCGGACTTTTATTTCGAAAAAACAAAAGGAACTTCTGCTTCCTGTTTTATCGGAACGCTAAAGGCTGCTGCTGCACAGAGGACCATAAATTTTGACAACCAAATGTTGAACATAGTCACGAAGCGGCGGTAACAATGTCTATTCGAGTCGTTAAATGATTAACACTGCCTTGCGTAGTAAAAAAAAAAAAAAATCACATTAACTTGTGAACTAAAATGCGTAATTTTCACGTAAGTTACGTGAAACAAGAAAGTGGTTTGATTACAAAGACCGTTGTCCTTCAGACTCAGAGCCGGCTTTTTTAAATAAACCCAAGTCCATCGTGTCACATAAACACACCTACGGTCAGATATAAATGTCACRCGTTTATTGAATCTTTCTACGCTATCTTTTGGCGAATGCAGAAAAACGTCTGCATTCACTTTAAAGTAAAAAAAAAAAAAGAAATTGCACAAAACGACGCAGTGACGATCGAAATCATTCAAGATCGCTGCGCATTAGGAAAACCAAACCCGTGAAAAACACGCAGAAATGCGGACATGCATCCTGACTGCAGACTATCAGCTCTGAGCCAGACCGCGGTGTGTGTTTGCCTAATCGATYGYAAACATACTTTTATAAAAACCCACGTCTAAAATCGCAGTAAACGTGACACAAAACACCAACAATCCCCGGGTGTTGTAAGTTGTAACGTTAACATCATGTACTCACTCGTTTTTATCCATCTCGGAGACACTGTGTCGCTTTCTGGCTCTTGCTGTGTTAAATCCCTTCTCCCCTCTCCTCTTTCAGTCCCCTCCCCCCKTCCATGTTAGAAATGAGACATTATCAGTATTATCATTAGAGGGGCTGATAAATGAGCTAAACGCCTGCTGGACCTCTAATTTGGACTGCAGCACACATTTTAATTTACAACATAAAAGGCTGAACTATTCCTTTTTTTATTTAATATACATAAGGCTCTGAAAACTGCTGTCAAATGCACACATCCAGCTGCTGGAAATATGTCAACACGTTTTGTTTTCTTCCAAAGGACATCTTGATTTTTGAGCTCCTGACAAGCCAACAGAGACCAGAGACAGGCATCACATTTATACCTCAAATTTGGACTGGGCTCTAATCCTGTAAATAGATCCATTTATGAGTAAAAACTAATCTGTCTGAATGTCCTAATGCATCTCAGTAATCCAGGTAAAAAATCAAAAAGAAAAAAATTGTATAGGTCTTCTGGACGGGTTCTTCTCTAATGAAACGTTTCGTCTCTCCTCCAAGAGACTTCTTCAGTCTGAGAGTTTCAGGCTAAATTCAGGCTTTTAAGCCCTGCCTCCATGTGACTGATACTCACATCACATGGCTATAGCTGACACCTAATTAACACTTATTGTTAACAGGGGGTGGAGTGACACTGGCAATAGCCGCGCTGTAGGAGGGGGACAGCTGAAAACGGAGGCCTCCACCTCTGTTTAATGATGGACGGTCTTTCTTCACAAAAATGGCTTCTTTTACTCCTCTCTCAAACCAACGTTCCTCTCTATCAAGAATGAGAACATCCTCATCTCTGAAAGAGTGACTGCTGGCCTGTAAATGAGTGAAAACTGCAGAGTTCTGGACATTAGATGTAGCTCGTCTGTGTTGGGACATTCTTTTGAACAGTGGCTGCTTTGTTTCCCCGATGTATAACTGGTCGCAGTCCTCCTGGCACTTAACAGCATATACAATATTGCTCTGTTTTTTCTTTTTAGTCTGTTTGAAGGTGTCACTAAAAAGGACAACATTCCAGTTTAATCAATGAAACATATCCTTGATACAACAAGTTAATGACCTCTGACTACCTTCACAGAGAGATGTGTACCTGTTCTGTTATCATGCTTGACCAATAACCAAAATGTACAAATATAAAGAAACAAAAGATAAAAAAGGTAGCTGACATCTAAGGTATAATAAAGCCACAGCCACTGACTAAAAACACACATTTTAGGTCAATTGATAACTTTTTTTTTCACTAGGTGAGAAGGTCAATTGTTGTTTGTCTAGTTTGTCTTTATGTGTCTCTGTGATGGAGTGGAGACTCCCCGCCTCCTGACACCAGCTCCGCAGCAAACCTACAAAAGCCGGTAAAAAATGGTTGGATGGATAGAAATATGTATCTAATGTTAGTTTAATAATTGTTGATCTGTAATAAAAAATCAAAAGTTCAAATTCTTATTTCTAATGGATATGTAGTAGCATGTGTTTTATTATAGCCTATACTGTAAGTTTTAGTCTCTGTTGAAAAGCAAAAGTAAAAAAGGGTAGTGGAGCAAAAACAGGAAAAATATCTACCTTTTATTCATGCAAAGTTGTCAGCAGATGAGTCCACAGAGGTAGTTTTATCTTTGTTGTTTCTTTGTCTTCAGACTAGGCTTTGTTGGTGTGCAGCCCAGATGTTTGGGATACCCTTGACCTCCCAATGGGGCTGCTGCTGCGGGCACATGTGGATTTCAACAAGCTGCCAGATGTCAACGAGAACTTAGAGCCTGACAACGCCTCTATCTCACATGTATCAAACTCAAGGTCCGCAGGCCAAACATGGCCTCCCACCATTAGGGGGAGGTGAGCAGGATTCAAAAGTAGTTAAATTCACTGAGTAAAAGAATTACCTGTCGAAAAGCGGGAGAGTTCAGAATTCAAGATGGCAGCTACTCACCGCAACTCAACAGTGAGTAAAACTTGGTTACTTTTACTTTTAATAGTATTTCTCATACATGTCAGGTTGTATGGATTGTCCCTAAATTACACAATTTCCCCCCATTTTGCAGGTATATGGACGTATAGAGAAATACAGACTTTTTGTGTAAATTACAGACCTTTGAGAGTCAAGTTACAGATAAGCATCTGAAGGCGCTGACATGTAGTATTTCTATATATTTATTTCTGATTTAGTCCATTGTACATGCTGTACTTTTCAATGTTTACAAGAGGACGTGTTAAAACACTGTTTCTATGCGGGAAATACCACATAGAGCTCAGTTATTGTTTGTTAGATCTGCTCAAACATGGCAATGACGATGCTTCATGTTAAGTTGAAGTTAAGCAACAAAACATTCAAGTTAATTACAACTGACCCTTTGAGGGCCACCATTAACGCTCATGTGGTTCTTGGTGAAAATGTTTGACACTCCGGCTGCATCGTGTTAGAGTTTTAGTTGAGTTGTTCGATACAGCATCAATGGATGCACATTGTAAAGTTCTCTTTACTCTTCGTTTTTATCGGTCCGCAGATGTCCAACTCCAGTGTCCAACTCAGCCAATTTGAACAAATGGGTGATTATAACAGGTTTCTGCAGAACGTGAAGGGGTGAACTGGAGCAGGGAAACAAGTAAAACATGCAGGATAACAGCGTTGCAGGCAAGGGCATAACTTTAGGTATACCATTGGGGGGTATCCTCTAAAACCCTTGTGCTTAAATGTACATTTATRACATCGCAAACATTTTTAATCAACTCAAAGTTCCTAAAGACAACAAGAGAGTTGCATTGGTCTACTTAATCAGCTAATTTCTATTGTATTTGAGCAAATGGTGTCATTTTAATGGGGTGGGGTATTGACTAGATCAATTTATTGTGGGGTCATAATCCCCCCAACCACCCTGCAAATTGTGCCTATGGTTGCAGAACCAGGACTGGACACCTCTAATCTAGAACTAACTGCTAGTTTATGAAGTGGAGGAGCACCTCACAACTATACAGTATTTAGTTTATTGGATAGAAAAAAACTTTGGTATTCCTAAAAAGCACTAAACCATTACATATTAAAATGAAGTCAGTTGTCTAATAAACAAGAAATCTTATTTTGTCATCTCAAGAAAAATACACATTTCTTTAGTTTCAATTCATTTTGTCCCATGCTTGGGTTAAGAATGACATTTGTAGATTTTATTTGCATTCATCATTCTTACCATTTGAAAAGCATTATTTTTTTCTGAATATGCGAGTGGAGGTTTGTTAGCATAATACTTCAGCTTCACATTGTTGAGTTTATGTTTACATCTAAACTTTTATGTAACTTTTCATCCTGAATCCAAAGTTGTCATATTTGTTGGCCAGAGAGCCATGAAGACTGAATCATTTGAGAGAACCTGATAATTTGCAATTATTGCATACCAAAGCTGAATGCATGTAATTTAAATTCTAATTGAATTTATGTCAATATATGTTTTTGCACTCTAATAGACTCAATTAAAGGGAATTGAAATAGAAATATACTGAAACAGTGTGGAATTAAGAATAACCTGTAACTAACCTACAACAAATACATTCAAATTATACATTTATATTATTGTAGCAAAGAACTACCTTGTGGTTTAAATCTGAAATGTTTGTGGATATCCTTTCAGCTGTTTCCTATAGGTGTCTCCAATAGAGGGCCATCTTCCTCCACCTTAATCCAGTTACCTCTATGACCCACTCTAACTACAGTATATCCATAGGTCTCCTTTTTGTATAATATTTGCATCTCATCATTCTACCAATATTCCCACTGTCCCTCCTCTGGATGTGTCCAAACCCTCTCAGTCCTTCAACCTGTGCTGTACATCTGATGATCTCATTCCTAATCTTCTCCATCCTCGTCTCTCCCAAGGAGAACCTCCTCATCTTCAGCTCTGACACTTTTAGTTCTGTCTCCAAACTGTACAACACAGCTGGTCTCACTGAGTCTCTGGTAAAACTTTCCTTTGACYTCACAAATCACTCCTGAACCTTTCCTCCATCCTGTCTGGACTCTCTTCTTCACCACACTCCCTGTTTTCCAGTGGTTGTTGTACTTGAAACTGGTCTTGGTCTTAAGACCGGTCTCAAGACCACTTTTTGATGGTCTTGGTCTTGTCTTGGACTCGACAGCCTTTGTACACGGTCTTGTCTCGGTCTCGGACATTGCAGACTCGGAATTTTATTTCAAGACCAGTCAAGACCACAAGTGTGGAAAAATCACTAAATAGCCAGATTATTGTCCAATTTATTTGTTAACAATCTTGCTTTCATTGGATTTTAAACACACTGATTCAAATCCAAACCTGACTTATTGCTATTTATGTATCTTTGTTACCGACTGTCACCCATCCACAGCCCCCGTCACTCGCACACAGCACTCACGGAAAGTGAACCATGGTTCTCTGGGAGCGGTAAAGGATGTCTTCAAAATTTTAAGTAAAAAAGTTTGGCTACATTATTCATAAAAAATATCATTGTAAAACAACAACAACCAGGAGAAAGCGTACAGCAACTTGTACATTCAGCAGTGTTTAACTTTCGGAGACAGTGGGGACAACTTCAAACTTTTATTGTCACTAACGTTAACAATCTGCATCTGTAGCAAAATTCTTTCCTCTGTCCTCACACAAAGATTTTGTCAATATTAGCTCTACATATTAAGTTAGCTAAAGTGGAGAAAAAAGTATTTAGTCAGCACCAATTGTTCAAGTTCTCCCACTTAAAAAGAGAGGCCTGTGATTGACATCATAGTTAGACCTCAATGGGAGACGAAATACTTTTTCCCCCACTGTACATGTGTACACAATACTCCATCACTTAGGGGACTTTTTCAATCTGGTCTTGGTCTCACCCTCAACTTGGTCCAAACCCTAAAAGTCTTGGTCTTGTCTCGGTCTCAAGACACTGTGGTCTTGACTTGGTCTCGGGTTAGGTGGTCTTGACTACAACACTACCTGCACCTTTGTGTCCTCTGCTCCTTGTAGCCTCACTGCTCCACCTGCCTCCCTCTCATTCACACACCTGGACTCTGTTTTGTTACGACTGACTTTCATTCCTCTGTAGACCTCCACCTCTCCAAGCTGTCTTCCACCTGTTCCCTGTTCTCACCACAGACCACAAAGTCCTCTRCAAACATCAGAGTCCACGACCTCGTCTGTTAGTCTGTCCATCAGAGTGAACAGGGAGGGGCTCAGAGCTGATCCTTGATGCAGTCCCACCTCCACCTGTCACTCCTACAGCACCACTGTCCTGCTGTCTTCATATATGTCCTGTACCAGTCTAACGTACTTTAAATGCCACTCCAGATGTCCTCATACACCACAGCTCCTCTCTCAGCACCGTGACTGGATTTTTCTAAATCTAGACACAATGAAGTTCTTTCTAACCTGTTCTTCTCCATCAGCATCCTCAAAGCAAAGATGGTGTCATGCTTGTTCATTAAAATGGACATCAGCTCACTTCTCCTTCATCCATCTGGTATTTTCTCAAAAATATCAACTAATCAAGTCAAAAAGTCTTATTGCCACCTCTCCTAGATGTCATCAGGTCCAGCTGCCTTCATCCTCACTAATCTTTCTTGCTTCTTGTTCCAGTTTTTACCTCTACTCTTTCCATTTCTTTCTCTTCATAGTTCTCATCTTCCCATCACTSTCTCCTCACCTGTTAGAACATTTCTATCTTTAACAGGTATAACCTGCTGCACATCTTCTCCAGTCCATCTCACCAGTCTATAAAAGTTCTGTCCTCCATTGTCCAGCCTCTTATACAACTCATCACACTGCTTGTTTTGTTTTTTCTACATTGTGTTTCCTTATACTCCAGTCTAATCTCTTCAGTCCTCTCACCGTCCCATTTCTTCTTGGTTAACTAATATTTTCTGCTGATAAAATCCAAACTCCATTAACTGAAAACGCTTTGCAGCGATCAAACTGCGCATTCAAAACTCGAGTCAAAGACGTTTCATACTGTGGAAAACAAAGCTCTCGACACTAAAACCAAATCAGTGAATATAGAAACATAATCTGAACCAAAAGCCAGCCTTTCTGGAATATTCTGAACCTGCAGTTGGAAGACAAATGTAATCTGGACCCACGGTAATAATTAAAATCAGCAGTTTGGACTTTGTAAACCATCAGTTAAAAATGAATTAAAAGAAAACTAAACCAGATCTGCTTAACATTTATTTATTTAACTAGATACAGGAAAGAAAATCTCTTTATACCATTTAAACTTCTTCCTCAAAATAATGAAAAAAAAAGTATTAAGGGAGGATGGGGGAATGAACAAGTACCTCTTTAATCTCCAAGATAAATGAAATGATATGGTTCACAACATAAAACTGTCCTAAATGAAAAATACAAGTTCAGGCACTGATAAGGTATCACTCTCCCATCATGACATCTTAAGTCTTGAGAATGAAAAGGCCACACTATTGATTTGTATAGGTCTTCTTTTTTTTTCTTCATCTTTTTTTTCTTTTCTTTTTTTGTAAAAATTAAACACACAAAAAAAATGCTTCACCTCCCACTTGTGATTACATGTTGTTTAAAAGAAACCATCCACATCATGACATGGGAATAACATCACAATAACACTGATTTGTTCTCATTATTACCTTACATACAAAGCCAGAAATCTGCCTCTGGAGTGAGCTGCACACTGAGAGCCACTCGATGTGAGGGCAGACGTAAGAAAAAAAAAAGTGAAATCAAAACTTTTACACTGTGCTAAAAAAAAAAAAAAACCGAAAAAAAAAAAAAAAAAAAAAAAAAAAAAGCAAACAAAAAAAAAACAACCTAGGAACACAATTTTGAAAATGAAGGCAATCCACATTTGTATGGTTAGCTACATTCAAAAACCTGTTGCATAATATTTACTGTTGGAGACAAAAATCATTTCCATTTTTTTTAAATCAGTGCCTCGTTGCTAAAGTAAGACCACCTCAACATGACTGTGGCACAAACTCTGTCCGTTTACGCCTAAATGAACAAAAAAAAAGGCATTCCTTTTGTTGCGCCTTACAACTAAAATTGGAATTAAAAAAAGGATATACAAACACTTTATTTATCATTTGTTGATTTTTTTTCTTCCTGTCATCCCAGTTTGATGTCAAATCAACTTTTGAACACCATTTAAATGTAAATATCCCCTTATACAGCTCATCTACAATACACTCTAAACTTCAAACTAATATCGCCATTTATGTAAAAAATCTACAATGTATAGACTAACAAAAAATATATATTTTTATATATATTTACTTTTGAAAAAAAAAATGCAACAGAATAATGCATGAAGTGAATTTACACGTCACACTTCTCTCGGTAAGAAAGGTGAGAACACGCTGACTCGGGAGGAAGGTGAGGGGTTTGTAATTCAGTGGGAATGGTCATTTAGGAATTACACAAAGTCTGCTTTAACAACTGTGGTGAAAAATAAACTTTTTTTTTTTGTATTTTACAGGTCAATAAAAGGTGGTGGTGGGGAGGGGGGGGGACTTGAGCTGTTTAGTCTGCTGGCACTGTCAGTAAACCATTTCAACAAACAGCACTTCGTGGTGCTGATCACCTCCGAGTGATTTGAGTAGCTTTAATACATGACTTAGGGAGTGAAATGTGATACAGGTCAACTGCCTAAATCTATACAACTGTGCTTTGTCTCAGTCTGTGAATGCTTTAGTACATAAAGCAGTACAAAAACCTGAATGTACAACAAAGGGCTGCTGGAGAAACACTAGAATAGCTGGTCAACAACGAGGAAGAACAGTATGTTTGTGTTGACAGATTCTGTTTCTTGGATAATTTATAACTTTCCAGGAAGAAGTCTTTGATTCCAAGTCTCCAGACGCCTCGTAGGTTGAGACCGGTTCTGAGCCTCAGGACTTGCTCAATAGTCAAGGAGTTCCCATCTTTCAGGTAAGCTGTGTTTGAAATGTCAAAAAAAAAAACAACGTTGGCAGACCTTTTTGTCCTCCATCCACGCGCGTGCAAAAAGGTCACTGACTCTTTTTTTTTTTTTTGACAAGTCGTCTTTAACTACGTGTTACATAACATATGTAAGACTTTTACCATCACACTGGGAATGACATACATTAAAAAATAATTGCTCATACACATAAGCAATCCCTCACAAATGTTCCTCACATGTACAGCAATTTTGCCTTAAAGTCAAATAGAAAACATGTAACAATTAGGCACAAATCCTCAATTCAGTTTGTGTTTGTTTACGTCTCTTTTTTCCATCCCCCCTTCCCTTCCCTCCCCACTCCTCCGCTCCCAATCCTCCACCAGAGCACCTCTTGGCAGTGTGTGGAGTCCCAAAACGTGGCAGGACAAAACATAACTCTGGTGTTGAACCATCATGTGAAAAACAAAAACAAAAAAAGAATTTAAACATTTTACATGTATAAAACAAAACTTAAGAAAAACAAGAAGTTCTTCACATTTGAGTTTGTAGTCATGGCTGGGAGTGTGAAAAACACACTGTGTCAGTTTTGGCAGTATGCATGTGAGTACAAGTGTGTGAATCTTGAAAACTTGAACGGACAACACAGACATGCCCCCTCCCTCCCCAATCCACACACATACGCATACACACACGCACGCACACACACACACACACACACACACACACAGAAAGAGTAATGGGTGGAAGAAATCTGTTAAGGCCACATCCTCTGACAGCCAGAGAAACACCACCAGATCTGTGAAAAGAAGGGGAAGACGAACATTAAGCAGCCATATTTCAGCGTTACACAACTTTAGTAATGATGTCACACTGAGGCCTACCTGGTGTTACATGTGGCCAACTGGATTGTGGCCTTCCCCTCCCATGCTGGGGTGACCTCCTGAGAGCTGCATGGGGGCTTCGCCCACCACCCCAGACACTTTCTCTTCCTCACGCCGTTTTAGACACGCTGCCTTGGGGTTTAGGTTGCGCTCTGACAAAAGGAAGGCAGAAACAAGCTGTGTTCACAAGAGATCGGTACATTGGTGCTTATTGTGTGAACGCTATAAAGCACTCTATTCACATGGTTCAGTTTTGTTCTGTACCGTTTTGGGCTTCTAACTCGTTCTGCAACTTTTTTTTGTGCCATTTCAACAAATGCTCTATCAAAATGTTCAGCTTATTTATGCCATGGCTGCCTTGGTATTTTTTCATTTATTTTACATTCAACATGCTTAAAACCCTTTAAAATGTTTATCCTTACTGTACTTTTCACCTTCTGTTCTGGTTCTGCTTTAACTTTAAAATTGTAGCTTTTTTCTGCTTTTTCAGCAATCTTTTTATTTTTGCTAATTTAAGCATTTTAGCCTTTTTTAGCTGATTGCAATTTTAGCTTTTTCATCTAAATTCAACTTTTGGGCTAATTTCAAATTTACTGCATAATTCCGCAAACATGCTTTTTCTGTTTCTTTGTGCTAATTTCAGCTTTTTCGGCTACTTTTTAGCTATTTCTAAACTAATTTTCTTTAGCTATTTCACAACAAATTGTAACTTTTTTATTCCTGTTTTTGTGCAAATATGAGCATTTTTACTTTCTGCTCAATCTGTCTGCCTTTTCATCTAATTTTAGCTTTTTTCATCTAAATACACAATTTTGTGCCAATTTCAACTTCTTATTCAGCAAACATGCTCTTTATGCATCGTTGTGGTAATTTAAACTTTGTTTGGCTACTTTGTAGCTTTTTTTAAACTAATTTTAGTTTCTTTAGGTATTTCACAAAAAATAGCAACTTATTTTTTTACTTTTTTCTTGTTTTTGTGCCAGTATGAACGTTTTTACTCTGTTCTCCATCTGTCTGCTGATTTCAGTTTGTTTCTCCTTTAGTTGTCCTACTTTCAGCAGTTCAAAATTAACTCACATTAACCATTCTGTTATTAAACATTTTCAGCAGCTTTCAGCATTAAGCCTTCATACTGCACTCCCGCACAAAATGCGAATTTGTCCAGTTAAAGCTAAATGTCGTCTGCAAACCCACCTCTGACTTGTTGTTCTAAATTGAGGATGACGTTGACGGCTTGGTGAAGGATGAGAAGTTTGGTCTGAGGTTTGTCGTGGCTGAGGTGCAGTTGGCACATCCTCCCGAGCTCCTTAAACGCCTCGTTGATGTCTCTTACTCTGAGACGCTCTCTGGCGTTGTTAGCCACCCGTCGCTCCCTCTCACGCTCCATCTTCACCTCAGGGGGAAGGTCCTCATCGTCCTCATTGTCTGGACTGTTCACAAACAGAAACCAAGTGGTTTTCAGCTGAAAATATATAAACTTCTAATTCATGTAACAATGTGACTATGTACACTCAGTTTTGCACTAAATGAACTCATTTTGAATATTTTCAGTAAGAACAGTTTCAAACATTATTGGTGCCATTAAAACACCAATCTGTCAAATAAACAACCTTCAGTTTTCCAGCTAATGGACCAAAGTCTCTGTTCTACAGGCGTTACATGGTAAGGTCCAGCTCGGTTCACTCCTGCTCCAGCCTGGCCTTATTCTACCCAAGTCCAGATTGTTTGCATTGAGCAGAGCGCCGCCTCAATGTGAGCAGGATCATAATAATAAACAGGCACAAATCTTAAAGGGGCAATATCATGTAAAATCAACTTTTTTGAGTTTTATGTCATATTATAATGTTATACTCTCATAAAAAAACATGCCCAAAGCCTTGCTCTGACTCATTCATGTATGTTTGAGAAATCCTGCAGTATTTTTAGGAAGCTGTGCTGAGGAGCAAAACGACAGGTGGGGACCAGAAACACCCCTGGGACGTGTCTTTAAGCCGAACTTCCTCATGGCAGAGCGCACCCCCTCCCCACACACCCCGCCCATGACTCCTGCAGGCTCTCAAGTGAAAGTGAAAGCTAACTGTCTGCTGAGCTCTCAACATTAGTTCTCACTTAGTGAAGCTCTTTTCAGATTAAAAATACCTTTGAGGAAATATATTTTCAGATGCCAAGTAAACTGCATCATGGCAGCCCCGACTCCCCTCTGAGAGTGCGACCCCCCCCCCCCCCCCCTCAGGGTTCCAGAAATCGAGATGGAACTGGGCTATGGAGCTAATGCAAACACTGAGTCTCGCCATGAAAATAAAGCTTTATGTGGGGCTTCTAAGACAGGTCTCGCTACAAGGCCAAACATTCAACACGGCTCCCACTGTCAGCCATAACACCAGGAGTATGATACAAAGTGAATTTCTGACCAGAATCCGACCAGAAGTCAAGTTTCCTGATATTTCACAAAGCAAAATCTGAACGTATTTAAAAGCCTGGATATAATGATGAATTTAAAAACAAAGTTTCTCAGCTAAATTTAAGGTTAAAATGGAAATAGACAACAGCAGATGCTACTACGTCTGACACTACTTAAGCCTCAGCTGCATCTGAAATGTGTTAATAATGTTCACTTAATATAGATATAAGATGAAAACAACAAGGTGCTACAGCTTAACTTTTAAGTTAAAATGAAGTTTTGTCTAGAAGACAAAGTGACTTGCTGTGTTTGTTTCTGTTACGTTTTATACAAAAACCTCAACTAAAATATATTTTTAAGACACAGATTCAGCTGCATCTCCTTGGTTGGATAAGCACCTGATCAAGATGGAGAAATGTGTTTTTAGTAGCATTCTGTGTGTAGCTTGGTGATGTACAGACATTTACTTGCTGCTCCTTTAAAAAAATGGTTTTATGTTGTACAACATATTCTCTACAGAGCTCTGTGTTTTCATGAATATGAACTCATTTAGAAGATAAAACATTTTTCCTCTTCAAACATCAGCTTTCTTTCTCAAAGGAAAAAAAAAATCACAAAACACTTGAAGTTATTCTGTGTTTGAGAAACTTACTCATCCTTCTCCTCTGAGAGGCCAGAAAGCACCGGGAGGGTCAACGCCTCCTTTCTAAAAACATGATGTAAAAAAGGAGACCGTGTTAAAACCCCAAAAATACAACAATCACTGAACAATCACTAGGACACACAGGAAGAGAGTCCTCTTTGATGAGGATCGCTTACAGCTTCAAATCAATTTGTTCTTATCTTTATTCTGTGACTAGTCAGTTTCTACGATGAATAACATCATTTGCATTTCTACAGTTTGTTACGAAATGTTTCAACGAGTGTCACCTTGTTCGACTGCGTGCCATCTTTGAGTCCTTCTTCTCCTCCTCTGACTTGTCTGCAACAGAAGAGTTTTCGTCGTCCTCTTTGTCTTCTCGTTTGATGTCTGAGCTGCTGGAGGAGTGTGCTGATCGAGCCAAACCACCGGGGAGACCTGAAGATCAACATACAAACGTTTTATTCTGAGGCTCTGAAAACTTGGTGTTGAGAATGACCTTTCTAGAGACTTCAAGTTAACAACAAAATGCATTTAATGGCTAAAAAAGTGGATTTTCCATGATATGTTCCCTTTAAATGAAACAAATAATGGTTTTACTTACTAGTGAAGCCTTCTGGCTGTCCGACTGATGGTGTTGGTCCAGTTGCATGATGCCCATGAAGGAGAGTGCTGCTGGGAGGAAGACCTGTGGCTTCCTCGTGTTTCCCTCCCTGCTGATAAAGGTGGAGGACGATGATGTGAATTCCACAAGGAAAAAAACAAAACAAAACTAAACAAAAAAACTGCAAAAAATTCTTGGAAAAAGATGTGTTGGAAACTTGAACAGAACTAATGTTGAAACAAAAACACAGCCTAATAGTATTTCTGCAGGTAAAGAGTTAGTTTGGATCAGAACCAAAGTGGATTTTAAACTACAATCTCAAAACTTTCATAACAGTTTATGCAAACACTACTTTATAAAACTTTACACAGTTGCATCGCATGAAATGTTTGGATATTCCAACAAGAATTGTCTCAGGCTGCATGAAAAAATGCTACAGTTAGCTGCTGCTGCTATTTGCTTTTGCACACAACCACAAAAATTCTCTGTAAATATCTGCATGACACGACCACTATGAATTATTTGAGATTGGAGTTGTTTTAGTGAGTGCAGTCCACTATGGTCTTTGCTCCGCTTGGACAAGCTGCTAACTCATCAATCTTGTCAGAACTGAACCACCTCTCTAAGCTGAGTTGGTTCAAAGAGCTACCTGAAACAGGTAGGATTTTAACTAGGGATGGGTACCTTTGACATGTGAATTGATTCAGTACCAATATCTGGTACCTGGGAACTGGCACTTAACGGTACCAATTTTCGGTACTTTGTGAGTGTTGTTTTTTTATTAATGAACTTTTATTTAACATATTTCTCAATATATAAAAATAACAAATAAAGACAACATCCAACTCTTTGTATTGTAACATCAGTTGTGTAACTAATTTCTTTAAGGTGAAAACTCTTGAAAACAACAAGACTGTTTTGTCTTATTGCACAAATTAAAATTCAGCTCCACGTGTTTCTATTGATGTCATTTCCCTGCTAGAAAAGTTGTGTGATGGAGGTCCATGGAAGGCAAATAAGTTTAAATCAAATAAGCAAAAGAGGATGGAGTTAAATAAATAAAAGGTATCAAAGCTATGTTTTGAACATCCAAAACGCGCCAACACTTTAAAGTTAGCTGCTTGTGCTCTTTCAGGTCAGACGTGTTCAAACTGTCGGGAAGCACCTCTGTTGTTTTCCTCTGCCGGTCTCTGTTTAATGGTGGATGAAATAAAGAAAGTGGTGGTACTTTATTTACTTTGAGCAAGCGAACGTCGTGCTCACAAGATAATTAATCCACCAGATAATTCAGAGGTGGCCTGTTCAGCGACTTTTACTCCAGAACCTGCGAGGCTTTCAAGCTACATTCAGACCGAGCTCTGCCTCTGTTTACTGTCCGAAGCAGCGGCTGCTGACGTCATTACGCTCTTGCACGATGCTGCGTTCAGGACAAGCATGGAGAACTCACCACTCATACGCCAGTACGGTCGCAATGATGCGTTTAAGTACCGAAACATGGTACCGTTTGATGTTACATGAATAGGTTCTCGGTAGTACCGACAGAATTCGGTCGGTACTTTAAAAAGTATCGAATTCGGTACACATCCCTAATTTTAACTGCTCCTAACTTCTCCACAGAACCACATTTCAGCAGATCTGAACCAAGTCTGCAAGTTCTGGTAGTTTTCAGTCTAATCTCTGCCCAGCAGATGGCGACACTGCCCGTCTTTCCTTTCTATTTTTGTTTAATTCAAGTCCTGTTTAATGGTTTGTAGATAACATTTGTAGATAGAACTGCTTGCAGAAAAGTTTACAGGAACTCTTTTTTGCTTTATGCCGTTCTACATAACTACAAATACACAAAAGACAGCAAATGGAGAGAAAGTGTCTCACCATAGCAGGATGTCTGTTGCTGAGGGCGAGGCTGGCATTGGGAAAAGCTGGAGAGAGGCCTCCGAGGCCACCGTTGTGCACCGAGGACAGGAGGCTGTGCATGTCGGAGTGAGCGCCTTCTAAGGCTGGACCCTGGCCCACAGCGTGGCTGCGCAGCACGTGGATGGCCTCCTCCAAGCGGTCATCCATTTTATTCTGCTAAAAATAAAAATACACAAAACGAGACGCAAACTCATTAACAATTTATTTCAAGAAAACTTCTGTGTTTTGTGGGACACACAGCTGTTCCTTTAACAAATGTGTGAACTCTGAATAAAAATATTTGATGGGTAACTTCAGACTTTAAATATCTCACTCAGCTCACCAGCGTGTGTGGCGGCCCTTCAAAGCTGGGTGTGGTTGGTCTTTGCCACTGAGACTGAGCTCCTGCAGAGAAAAGAACAGATCGTATCAGGTGCCTCAACTCAAATTTACACCAGATGGAGCCGCAGAGACACGTTTGAGATGAAGAGGTTTAGAAATGCAGTGCATCACTTCCGCTTAGAAAGTATAAATAACTTTTATACATTTGTACTTCTTACTTTTTCCACTATTTTTAAGTAAAAATGACAACTGTACGGTGTTTATATCACAGCTGAACTGTACCTGCAATGGCCTGAGGAGAGCCAGGAGTGGACGGGGCCGAAGAGAAATTATTACTGTTGTGGTCCGACGGGTAGATCTGAAAACAAGTGGTTAAACACTTCAAATATATAACAAATTTTACACAAGATCAGATTTGAACACTTCAAACCATAAACCTGAGCTTGGTAAATTCTGCTACTGTTTTCTTATCATGTTAGAGGTCTTTTCTAGAAAAAGTTTTCACAAATGATTACAAACGTGTCTTGGAAGGTTAACATAATTAGGCAAGATACAAATTTAAGCCAAAGTGTAAAAGTCAAGTATTTTTTTTGTAGATCAATATATTTTACAAACGTTGGACATTAAATGTGAAATCTGTAAAACTCTGTCATGAAGCAAGATTTCACTGACCATCATGTGCAATAAACATTTTGTAAAAATGAACATCTTTCAGTTGTAGATGAGTCTTTTTGATTTAAATAAATAGAAGTCTATCATGTTGAACATTTCAAAAATTATTGCGATAATTTGTTTAATCAAACCCTTGAATGCCATGTAGGGTATTTTAAATAAAAATGCCTTTAAATGTGATTCTGGTGGCACTCACTTTGTAAAAAAAGTCAAGGTTCTTAATGCATCAAAAGAGCACCTACAAAAGCCCAATACAAGGGCCCAGAGAGGCGTCCAAATCTTTTGTTTTGTGAAAACAAAAAGGGGCGTTTTGTTACTCAACACAGACTACAAAAGAAAAAAAAAACAATGACAAGAACAACTCACTGAAGCAAGAGCCTTTCCAATCTCATCTCCTGAACTGTTGGCTGTAGTACCTCGGCTGGCTGAAGACACAAAATAAATAATGCAAGTCAGATGCCTCAACAATTTATTCTCGAAACAGAAAAACTAACAAAACAGCCACAGTAAATAATCCCATCTGTAACAGGATACAAGTAGGTAAAGTTCAGACGTGGGGGTTCTTACCCATGATGCCCTCTCCGTTGATGGTTGGTGTGTGGTTGTAGGTGGTGGGAGCTGAGTGGAAGCCGTTGACTTCGCTGCTATGCAGAGAATAGTTCTGCAGGGACACAAGCAGAGACTTATTATTGTAGATAAGTACTTCCATAGAAAATGGTCCAAATTAAATAGCATGCTCAAAAACGGTCCAAGAAGCTTCAAGTTTCTAAAAGTTTTAATAGAATGATGCAGTCATTCATCATAAGTATAGTCATAGTCAAATGTTTAATGTATATCAAACTGGGACGGAAATAAGCACAAAGCCAAAAGGAAGTTTCTGCTTACCATTCTTTCCTGTGGGTTGATTGAAGGGAACGAGCCAGGCTGTCCAATGTGAGGGGAGTTACTCAGCATCCCAGAATAGCCAGAAGATGACCAAGGATCTTCTGAGGAAAGTCAAAGTAGATGTAAAAATAATTTTTTTAATGAACACTTAGTTCATAAACATTAAACTAAGTCGAAACATTAAAAAAAAAAAATCTACCTTGCATGTAGAAAGAGCCTGGGTAAACTGTGCCGGGCTTAGCACCAGGATATCCTCCGTTGTCTCTGACATACTCCTCACTAGATGTGGAAGCATACACCTGAACACACAAACGACAAAACATTTAAAACAACATGTCTGCAATATGTGCTACAAGTGAAAATAAAAGGTGTGACATGATCGGCGAGATAATCCACTTCACCACGTTAAAAAAACAACAGCAGCTTAACTGAACAAGAATCAATAAAATTCAAGCTTTCTCTACAAATAATGTAACCCCTGATACATTAAAAGCACTGATATCTAAATAAATTGATACTTGAATTCACAATCACAAAAATCATGAAAATGGAACCAGCTAGGCCATGTGGAATGTTTAAGACAAATCCATCACAATGTATGCAATCACCTCATTTTATTAGCTATGAGAAGCTAACTAAAGTAGCTTTAAGTTGCCACAAGATGGCAGGAGGGAGTTTGCTGCTGGTGGAGAAGGTAGGCCAGCCCCTCTCCTGTGGAGAACACAGTGGCCATGGCATGCTGGGTACAGTGACGGCTCCAATCCCACAGTGAGCATTTCCTCTCACTCCTAGGACCCTGGTGACATTGCACTGCCTGGCCTGCAGCCCCTCCCAATAAAATGCTCCGTATCAGCTCACACACATGCCATGCATTTAGGGAATCAACACACCCACTGATGCACAATCCYGCAGCAATGCTCTCAAACAATTCTATACGTCAGAGGACTGAAACCAACACCGTCAACAACTCTGACAGGATCTAATATGCACAACAGTTTAAACATTCCCTCTAAATATTAGTAGAAAGCACACTGGTAAGGGCGTAAGATGAAGAATAAGGAGCCCTCAGTTTCCAGACACCATCATGAGCCACTCACTCCTCTTTTTCCGCCGTTCCTCTGTACTACATGTTAGAGGAAGAGGTAGAGAATGAAGGCTATGCTGCAAAGAATGCTAATCCAGAAAAGGGATTTTTTTCTGTAATTTGATTTAACAAGGAGAAGTGGAAAGGGAATGGAGAGATGCACTTCTAATTACAGAGCCATCTGCCTGTTCCTGGACCGCATCCAACTCCACAGGCAGCTGGGCTGAGGAGAGGCAGCGAGGAGAGGGGGAGAGGGAGAGAAAGAGAGAGAGGGAGAGAGAGCGAGAGAGGGATGGGGGCTGGGATCCAGTCAGCAAGAGAGACGGAAAAGACAGAGGAAGAAACAGTGGTGGGTAAGGGGTGGCAAAGGGGCAGGGAGGAGGATTGATACGGGGGGCCTGATGATATATGAAATGGGTTGAGATACGGGGTGTTCAGGGGACGAGGGATGGAAATCTAAATGACTTAAACGAAGCTTGATACGACCAGGGGAGTGTGAAAAAGAATGGGGGGTTAACATGATCACGGTTAATTCAGGGGAAAACATGATGGAAATGGTTTCATTTAACAATAAGCTTTGAATTGTTCTTGCACTGGAAACAATGCTGCGTGGATCCTGCTGCTCTACATGGAAGCAGAACACCACAATGACTAGTGGATAATTGTATTTGCTGGAAAATCCTTACCAAGGGTTTAATGTAATTCAGGTTGTGACCATGTAAAGAACTAAAAAAAAAAAAAGATAGCTGTTGTAAGGGGTGGTGGGTAGATCAACACCAAACTAAGCGCCTGTATTCAACCACGAGGGTTTGTGGGTAGTCTGTTGGACAACTAGGGGGCAGAAGAGAAGTGCTTGGGTTTTAAATTCCAACAAATAGGAGGGGGTGAGGGTTCACGGCGTTGCGGCACTGATTCTGTGAACTGGTATCGATGGAAAGTTTTATAGAGCTGTATGAAAAATGAGCTTGGTGCACATAATTTAAGTGACAAAAACAGATTTTAAAAAATTATTGACAAGTTGGTAAAGTAAAGTAGGAAAGGGAGGAGTGTGGGGAGGGAGGACGACAGGATCATCATCAGCAGTCATTAATCTGGGCTCAGACACGAGGCTAAGAGGCCTCGAAAGCACAGCGCCTCACAACTGGGTCACTCACAGGGGGGAGGCCCACCCGGGCCATAATGTGGTGAGGCGTGGGCGAAGGACTGGGTGAGGAGAGGGAGGAGGGTGGGGGTTCACACTCAGACATCTCACCATTCGCTCTAAAACCACACGGCCACCGCTCGCAGAGCGGAGAATGACTGAGGTCAGACGGTGAAAAAGAGGGAGCCCCCACAGCCCCCTCCCTGCCAGACAGTGTTCACACTCAGCCTCTGTGATGTAGACAGCCACTACATTAAAGTGTGCTGATACACACAAATTTATGCAGCCACTTAAAGATGACAACAGCCACAGGTAGAGAGGACAGCAGCTGAGAGCTAAACAAGTACAGCTTTAACCCAAATAAGACGTAAAAAAAAAAAAGACTAAAGAAACGTATCAAATTCAACTCAGGTCTGTCTGTTCTGAGGGTTGAGTAAACAATAAAATAACTCATCAATAAACTCAGCAGAACAAGTGCCATTTTTTTGCAACTGTATGTAGAAAATAAAAAACACTGATGTTTGAATAAATGTTCTCAAGATTTGTACATACAAAAATCCTTGCATTCAAAAAACTAAAAAAATTTGTCAATTCTAATTAAATTTAGTCAAACATTTGTTTCTAGGTTCTGTGATTAAAACATATAATAAAATTTTAAGCTAAACACACGTAAAACTGATAGGTGACAGGTCGTCTTTCTGTGCTCATGTTGCCTCTCGGCACCTTCGGGACACTGTGCTGAAATGCAGAAGCGACAAGTGTGTATTTAATCTCTGAGGTCACTCCTGTCATTTGAGAACTACAGTAGCACACGGGGAGGGTTACAGAAAATGTTTATGCAATAGCAATATTTCAAAGTGACGRTGGCGGCAAAAGCATCAAAACTGGGCTCAAATACCTGAAGAAATTTGGACGACTAGACTCCATCAATTTAAATATTAGTCAATATATTATAAAAAAAATGAATATAACGCTCAGCTCAGCTTTTCATATCACTGTTTAAGAATCAAATCTTACGTTTAAAAATGATTAATTTATAGCTATTTTAGCCAAAACCATGAAAATAACACTATGCAATTGAAGTACGTGTTGTGAAGGACAGCCGACTACAAGTTAGTAATACTACATTAGTAAAATTAACTGTTATAACTAGGGTTGGGCATAATCGTATCGTGTGCAATTAATCGTCAGAAAAACATTAATCGATTATTTTTTGGCACTTGATGATTAATACGATTAACGCCACCAGGCAGACTGACTGGTGCTCCTCTCTGCTTCAAATATGACGAAAATTTAAACAAAAGTTCTGTAACTTATTTATCTATAAGTTACAGAACCTAACTTATAACCTGAAGTAACCTGAAGTCTGATTTTGACACAATTTGGAAAAGATTTTTTACAAAGAGCAAATCTTTCCCACTAAATAGGTCACGTGACTAGGACATAAGGGCATCCAGGGACTCCAGGGGATTAATCGTCAAATTAATCGTTATCGGCTAAATACCACAATTAATCGTGATTAATTCTTTTGCCAATATCGCCCAACCCTAGTTATAACTTTTGTGTTTAAGGTCACTGTGCTGTGCTGGCCGTTAAACCAGTTGACTCCAAAAGTTAATCAATTGTCAACCCTATGATTATTTTCTGAAAGTTTCATTAAAATCCACTCAATGATTCAAGTTACATTCAGACACTTATACAYACGTGTTTGAATACATACATACGTTACTTCCACTTCTATTGTGACAGAGGAGACAAAGACAATACTCTGACTTCCCTTCAGATTTTGTATCTAAAACCTATTAAATGCTAATATGTCCGGAGCGTCATCTTTACAAACATGTGCAGCTAACACATGACCAAACTCTTGTATCAGAGAGAGAGCACCACCAATGTATCTGGTGATGCAACCTGTTTGAGATTTGTGATTTGCTGTTTCTGATAGTTTAGTTCTTTTAATCAAACAATTTTAACACTAAAAGATGTCTTTCTTTGGTGCCCAAGATTAAAGCAAAGGTGAGTCTCTAACTTTTTTCTTTAAAATCAAAAACCTCTCAATGTTCTCTCTGTGAGAGTGTTAATAAACRTATGGAAAGTTCGATTCTATATAGGATTATATAAATACAAACAAGGTTTGGGTTTTTGGATGTGCCAAGATTGCTTTTTGAAACCATACTGATAGGGCTGTACCACTATAGTCTAACACATGATCAAATATGAAAAATAAACTGTATTAAAATGACTACATGTGTAAAAATCTTTCAAATGTAATCCCTCTGAATGAAATCATGGCAATATTTTAGCTCTTTTTATGCTGTGCAAAGAACCACCTGTGCTATACTAATTAAATTATCCCCCTATGAATATAACAAAGTTATGTTAAAGGCAAAACATCCTTTCAGTGTCAACTACATCACCATTGTAATCACAGTTACACTTGTGAACATTCACAATGAGGGATATTATGTAGGGCTTGCCAGTATATTAAAAACTTATCGTCATCGTGATAACAGCCAATATGCACATCGCAAAGAACTGCATAAACTGCAATAAATGGTTGGTTCAAAAGTTTGCATTCTGTCACTCAGACGAAAGCTTGAAGTATTCCACCAATCAAATGGAGCCCTTTATGTATTTGGCTAATTGCATGGATCCCTTCATATTTTTAAACATTTTGTGCAGGAATGAAAATGATTAGTCTTTTTTGTTGTTATTTTCTCTGAATCCAGAGCAGAAAGACATCAACACTATATAGTTGTGTATTTGTTCATTTATCATAAGTCATATCATCTCAATATTAAGCACTGTTATCGCACATCGCAGGGTTTCCTAATATCGTGCAGCCCTAACATTATGTTAGAAAATTCACATTTATGGACTTTCTTGATGCTTTAAGTCACATCAAAACTGCATGCTTGGTAATAACACAGGGTAGCCACACAAACAAATTTAACAGAATTAATGTAAACACTTGGAATTTATTTTTCCATATATGATCATTTAACAAATTCATTCAAAAATGTTGCAACCAACTCAAGACTACATTTTCTTGATCAAAGGATAGATAACACTCGAATACCACTTAAGACCACTTGACTGTAATAACAACAGTGATTGTGTTTATTGGGGTCCAAGTTGCCCAACCGTCAGCTTTTTGAGAGTCAGGGGGCTGAGCAGAGGGTCTTTACCTCTGTCTGTCACAGACCTGCTCAAGCAGAGTGTAAGGCCGTGTATATGTAAGCAGAGAAAGAGGAAAAAACAGAGAAAAAAAGTGATGTAAGCTGTGAAGACGAGAAGAAAAAGGCTCTTACCGAGGATGGTAGGCCAGGGGGTTTCCGAATCTTCTTTGGCTGGGTGTCTACACACAGACAGCAGAAATGCAGAAAATGTCAGACAGGTAAAAAAAAAACATGACACATTTGCAAACATGACATCAGTTCAGGTGCAGTTTTATTATGAGCTTGTTCCAATTTCATCTGCAGACATTAATAAGTGTGAAGAAGACACTTCTTATCATTTCTTATCATTTGAATTTACATACAATAAAATATATATTTGAAAATATAAACATTGTAAACTTAAAAAGATTGATAACTTTTCTTTTAGCTCAGTCAACAAAACTGCTGTGAATAATTCTAAAATTCAGCCTAAAAAAACTATAATATATGCACTGTTGTACGTTTTAAGATGTAATGTTGACCAAACCTAGAAAATATGATTGTATTTAAAAAAAAATCATGGTATGTTTTATTGTTTGTTATTATTATTATTTTTATTTATTTACCTAAACCTCCATCAGGCGGCCTTCTTCTGGGGTTGTTGGGGTATGACGGGTAAAACTGAGAGCCAGACTTTAGACCAGAGGGAGACAAAGCATCAGGACTGGGCATCGCTATGTCACTGGGAAGAAAACCCTGCTAGAAAAGGACAGAGAAGACAAGTTTTACTGAYCGTATAGGTGTGTGGGAGAAAGCAGCATAAAACAAACTTCTCTTCTAAGAAATAAAGACGGTTGTAAATTCAAAGTGTCTGAAAAGAGAACTGAGAAAACTGAGCTTCCTTTGCAGCTACACTGGTTGTGAGATCTTAAATTTAGGTTTCATTTGTTTCAGCTAAAAATGGAAAAAGTATCTACATACCTGGCTTCCAAAGGGAGAGTAGGGTGGCCTCTCATTTTTACCTGCAAGATGAAAAGTGGTGGTTGAACATTACTGCAATTTAAACTCTTTATTGTATATATTTATATATCATAGGGTGAAAGCAGTAGTCTGTTTAAAAAGTAGGTTTTTCACAAGCTAAAGTAAGTTCGGAGAGGCCCTCCCCCTTTCTCGGTACACTCAGCTGCATAAAGCAGCCTGCCAGACAAAACCCCTGGGAGGGTTTCTGCTTCAGCGCCCCAACATCCCCAACACTCAACGAATGAGCACAGGCACGTACAGAAACGTAGGCACACACACACATGATGGCATCCAAAAAAAAAAAAACAATTCTGTGCTCAGAACAAATCGTCACACAAAACACAACCCTTAAAAAAACTAGAATAAAAACACTCACCAGTGATCCCTGAACTGATAAACGGAGAAGATAGGCCTTCATGTTCACTGAAGTGGGATCCCTCTCCATAGCTCTGCAGAAACAAGAGTACAAAACATGAGTCAAAGAAAACTAAATAATGAGTATAACATAGATTAAATGCAGCAGCACACCTTCACACACCTATAGACCGTACCATCATTTCAGCTCTGCTTTAYGGATTAATTCTTACTCACTCTCAGACTTTCTAAAAGGGTCTGTGCCAAACAAATTTGTATCATCTCGAGGGATTCAAACTGTCTTTCTTAATTATCAACTTGTGGTAATCAAAGCTTCCTGCATCTATTTCACCCACCACCACCACCACCACCCCGCCCCAATCCTCATATTTACACAGAATGGTGCCAAGACAGTTATGGTGAATGTGAAGCTGCAATTACCGCTGGGCTTCAACAGAGGTTCTGAGCTACCAGGGAGCCTGCCAATCCTGCAGAATCCTGTGCCAAGGTTATTAGGTAGAAAGCAAAAACTACAACTGCAAATCAAAAATGGCATTTGGCAAGGAAGAAGAAAAAATATCTCTAATCTGTTGAGGTAGTTGGTGGTGGGGGGGGGGTGTACGTTTTCACCTCTGGTGGTGTGATTAACTGAATGTGTGTAAGTGACAGCATCGAGGCATCTGGTATTACTCCTTAGATCTGCCATCTGAAAATCAGGTGCAACCAAACAGTATGGATGAATTTGCGTTTAAGTCTTACCCGTCCTTGGCTGAATGGGGGACTGTTCTGTTCTGTGGAGCCCCAGGAACCAGAGCCACTGCGCTCATCTATGGAAAAGAAAACAAATGAACAAGCTGACAAAATGCAAGGTGGACACATTCAACAGTCCTTTAAAAACAGAATATAAATCTAGTAGTTAAAACACCCAAAGTGTAGACAAAAAAAAGTCTTTAAAAGCAGACTTTTCTTTCTGTTAAATGTCCTGAAGTGGCCACAGCAGACCAGGAGAGTTCAAATTGATGTTTCACTTTAAAACAAATTTAAATATTAAATGATTTCTAGGGGGAAAGTGTGTATAAAATGCTGTGCAATGTTCCCATTAGAGTTCATTATGATTAYTGAATAGCATAAAATTAACCATTTAGATTCTGATGTAAACCACGAGGTTAAAACCTTATCTGAGCCACATTTAATTACACCCAGTAATGGTAACAGGAACGAGTAAAAACAAAACGTGTGGAGTCAAAAACTGAAGCATAAGGTTATAGGTAAGGGAAGGAGCTGATGTGTGGCACAAAGAAAAACACAGCCAAAAACCGGTGAGGCAGAAAATTCCAAAATACCCCCATCATCCCCTTCTCCCTGTCTAATGCACTAATGCTATCCAGGCTCTCTGGAGACACAGGGCTTAATTGCATGCTGATTTGCATAATTGTGCATATTAATGCAGCTTCTTTATGAATATTCATATTCTGCCTTTGATTTTCACCTAATTAAAAAAATGTGTGTGAGAAAGCAAAAGAGCGAGCGACTGGAAGGAGAAAGCAAGGAGACAGAGGGAGAGAGAGAGAGAGACAGAGACAGAGACAGAGAGAGACAGAGAGAGAGAGAGAGAGAGAGAGAGAGAGA